CTGGGGGGCAAACAAGCGGTTGACTGGGGGCAACTAGCGGATGCTAAGTCAAAACATATCAAAATAAGTCCTCAAACTATTGTATTTGACTATTTTCACGACATCAAATCAGAAAACAAGAGATCAAAACAACCTCCAGGATTCTACAAGCCATCAAAAAAGAGCTATTACCGGAAGTGACGTCTATTGATAGCAACCTATACATATACATATATATATATATATATCATTCACTAGATACCTTACTAGATTATTTCTATTTTCTCTCTTAGACATCTACTAGATACCTCTCTCTTCCTTCTCTTACCAGCTTGATATTCGATACTACATAAATTTAGGAACTGCCTAAAAGCGGAGCTCCAAATAGGCACAGGAGCCCAATTTAGATAAAACTAAGAGATGAAAATAAGATCGGGGGGAAACTTCAATTATTATTTTTTATTCGACATGAAAATGATGTCCCCCATAATGAAAACCACGAAATGAAAAAAGGAATCGAAATGCACTCTATCGTTTTCTTCGCACGAATCTTCGTTTTCAACCTTACAACTCCCCAACTTACCTAGAAATTTTGTCACATGTACACAACCCACTTCCCTTCTAGCAGAATCTCTCTTCTCTTTCTCTCCCTTCTTTCAGGCGGAAAATAGGCTCTGCTAGCAGGGAAACAACCCACCATCATCCATCCCAGTAAGATTCTAATTCGACAAAGTTTTACGTGGCCGACATTCTTACGCTTTGAATTCCTGGTTAATTTTACTTGAAAAACGAAACATAACTACAGATAATCCAATACAATATCAAGTTTAGTGAAATTTACCTTGGATGACTTTCACTAAAGTCCTAATTTCGGAGATTTCCGAAATTTTTGTGGACAAATCAACACTATGAAAAAGACTTGAAAACTGGTTTAAAAAAAAGTGAGCAAGATATAAGCTTACTTTTACTTCTTTTACATAACGATGTTTGGTTATCCACATGAAAACTTTTACGTTCTTATAAGAACCGTATTTTTACAGCAAAGGAAATAGTAAAATAAATGCTTTGATAGCAACTGAGAGAAATATAGCCAAGATTATTAAGCTTAGCTCATTAAGCTAGTACGAACGACAAAAACCAAAGTGTCAGTTTAAAAAATAATTTTCTTATCATAAGGCTAGAAGGGAGGGAGGGGGTTGGGAAAATAGATGCCGCCCGTGGTAGGGGCATAGATATTTCCTGGAACTACTCATTGAGAGGATTTAGAGTGTGGGGTTCATTTCATCTAATATTTTAAATATTAAAAGGATTTTGAGCGGGGAAATGAAAACATTGATAAACATTTTAAATATAGATTAGGCATTATTTATAGTTAAGAATTCCTCCGAGAGAAGGGAGGGGGAGGGGGGGGGGGGGGTGCGACCACCCCCAGGATCCGCCAATGAATAAAATCGCGAAACTAATGTGTCGTGAAATACATCCGAAATCGCAAAATTAACATGCCTCAAAACTTTTCTGTTTTACATATTAAGTTATTCTTTAATTTCTATACATTACCTCAGTGCCCACAAAGAACTTTGTACTGACATTTTCTAGTGGTTTCCCTTGGTCCTTGGATTTACCAAGACTTGAGGAATGGCGTGTCATACCAGTTTGTTCAGGTTCTTTCTCGCCTTTCACTCCTGAGCAGAAAGGAAGTTATGTCACCGGTTAAGTTTTATTTGTAAGGGTAGGAAAGAAAAATGAGGTAGATAAACAAGATTTCATAAGGATCTGATTTAGAAAAATGTTAATGCAGCTTTTTTAAAAGCTATTTTCGTCATGTAATGAGATTTATTATGTATTAAAAAAGACGGTTTTGAGCTAAACTGATAGGCATAGTGACACTGGTTCTCCTATAAGTTTGATCGGGAGAGCCACCAATATAAGCCCGTATTGTCATAGCATTTAATCGATGTCGAAAATACCCCTTTTTGGTATCGACGATTAGCTTCTGAATGCAACGGTTCACATTGGAATGACAAAATCTCTGACAAAAATTCATCTTATTTTCTCTTACAACTTTTGTGAAACAGATTATTTCCTGAAGACGTGGTACAATAATAAGGGATATAACAAGCTACATATCTTGCACTTTCTGCTACAGGTCAGTGAGAATCTCAAGCAAATCAGGATCGCTTTCCTCGATTTTTCCTTTGTTTTTGGATTGAAAAGAGGAAAATCGATTCGGAAATATATTTTCCCCAACTAGCCGCCAATAAACAAAAATGGTATTACAAAACTTTTAGTGGAATAAAAATGTGTTTATTATTTTTCTACAAAACAAAAAAACAACAAAACAACAAAAACCAAACGAACAAACAAAAACCAACAAAAACCAACAACAAAACAAAACAAAACAAAACAAAGCAAACAAAAAGAAAAAAAAAAAAAACTCCATAAAGCTGCCTTCCTTACCATTTATTCTACTGCCTTGCTTCTCCGTAATGCTAAAGCAGGTTGGGCCAAACTCTCCATTACCCGTCATACGCTGTACAGCCACCTAGCACACAGACAGCTATATCACTAAAAGTCCTATTCATACTTTCAATTGCAGATATCGGAGTTACACTCTATTACCTTCAGACAATTGTTACATTTGTGTTACATTCTTTATTATTTTTATTGTTATTTGGGTCAGTTTCTATACATTTCATTGTATTGACCCAAATGGCTCGACTTGAAACAATTGTTTGAAGGCAATAGAGTGTAACTCCGATATCTGCCATTTTCATAAATCGCAATCAAATGTTGTTACGGCTTGTCTCCACCGCAAGCTTCATTAGTTTCGGTCCCAGATCCTCACGGGTCCTCTCCACTAAAAGAGAGAGGAGACTATTTCATGGATGGCCGTTGGCGTTTTTTTACCTTGAGTATTGGCTTCCAAGATAGATCCAGATGTTTGAAAGTCGGTGGTATCCCAGTAGGATTAGTGGTTGTGGTTTGAGCAGGTGCTGCTGACTTAGTTGGGCGAGTGTCCCAGAACAGGACAGTCCCATCTGCAGCACTTGTCATTAATTGACAGCAGTGCTGAGACTTGTTTTCCACTACTAATCCCATACGCCCAATCTAAATAAAAAAATAGTATAAATGAAATCGACTTAAGCAGTGAATTATTGCTCGGCACTATTATGCCTGAAATCATGGACAGTTGAAGAGTGAGTAACAATTAATTAATTGCAYGGATTAAGAAAATAGCAACGTCCAATCAACCAATCAGAAACAAGTATTTTATGTAGATGTAGTTTTAAATAAAAAAGATAGTTCACCGTTTYCACGCGAAATCTCGCTGAATGGGGATTCAAAGCATACAACGAGCAAAGGTGGACCAAGGCAAGTTTCAAGATAAATCATGGCCCTAAAAATCATATCGCAGAAATTGGAGCGTTAATTAACGCCTAAACCTAGCCTCCTCCGCAGGCTACCCCATATTCAATAATAATAATAATAATAATAATAATAATAATAATAATAATAATAATAATAATAATCGTCATCATCATCATCATCATCATCTATATAGCGCTCAACCTATTAAAATATTCTAAAGCGCTTTACATCCATGTCTAGAAAATAAAGAAAACAAAATTCTATTATGAAAACGATATGGAATAAGAAAAAGCTATAAATGCATTAAGAAAAAAAAAAATCACTGAACATCAATTATAAAATCTCAAAATAAAACTCACAGATCGCGTTTTAACGGGTCTAAAACCACTCGGCTACGCCTCGTGTTTTATACCCGATAAAACACTCCTGCTAGTTTATTAAACATTATAAAATCATATTAAATTCAAATAAAAAATCAAAACCAGTAATATGTACTAAACAAAAAACTACTTCATGAAAGCGTCCTTATAAAAATACGTCTTAAGTATCGAATTAAATTGTCCTACTGAACTACTCTGTCTAATTTCCAATGGGAGACTGTTCCAAATAGTTGGAGCCGCATGACTAAAGGCCCTATCTCCAAAGGTCTTGCATCTCGTTTTTGGAATGATAAGCAGACGTCCATTGTCTGATCTAAGGAGGCAGCAACCAGGTTGTTTTACAGTGAGCATGTCCTCAACGTACTTTGGAGCAAGGCCATTTAGAGCTTTGAAGACAATCAAAGCGATCTTGTAGGAGGCACGGTACTTCACAGAGAGCCAATGCAGTTGAGCCAGGACCGGTGAGATGTGAGCGTACTTTGGTATCGGACAAGTGACTCGCTGCAGCATTAAGTACTCTTTGGAGACGATCCAACTGATACTATGGGAGTCCATACAACAGCGAGTTGCATTAGTCGAGATGCGAAGTCACAAACGCATGATAAGTGTTTTTGTAGACTCAACAGATAAGAATTTCCTGATTTGCCTGATGTCGTAGAGAGATCTGAAGGCTTAACTACATACTTTGACGACATGTTCATTCATAGGCATCCCACTATCAAACCATGCACCCAAATTCCGTACACTGGTCAGGGGTTTGATGTCAGAATCTCCCACTCTAACAAAGTCTATGGAAACCTTTGATAGCTGTTGGCGCGTGCCTATGATCAGGAAATCAGTCTTGGAATCGCTGAATTTTAGTTTCTATGAAACGAGCAACGCACGGACATTAGCAATGGTGGCCTCCAAAGCTTGAAGTGTACGGTTTTCATCCATGGACGAGTCAGGACCGAAAGATATATATAACGGCGTATCATCAGCGTAACTATGAACTGATGGAAGGTGCTTCTCAATCACTTGAAAAAGATGCGATGCATACAGAAGAAAGAGTACAACACCAAGGCAGCTACCCCGGGGCACACCGCAACTGATTTCAAAGTTCCTAGAACAAGTAAGGAAAGATTTGACCCATTTGAGTGCATTTCCCACAATAACACCAAAGTCCGTCTCCAGGAGAGTAAACATGATGTCGTGATCAACAGTGTCAAATGCGGAACTGAGGTCAAGAAGAATCAGAAGAGGCACTTCCTTTCTGTTCATGTTCAGCAAAGTGTCGTTGTGAACTTTTAACAGGCACGTTCCAGTTGAGTGGAATATTCGATATGATGATTGATTGAAGGAAGAGGAGCATTTTCAGAACAGTCGCTGTACTACGACTCTTTCAGCAGACTTGGAGACGAAAGAAAGGTTACCAGCAGGTCTAAAATTATTGAGAATAGGTTCCAGATTCAGTTTCTTGAGGTGAGGAACAATAGGTGCAGTTTTCCAGCTATCCGGAACACATCCTTCTTGTAGTAATAAGTTTGTCATTCTTGCAATATGAGGAGACAACTCTTCAATGCATGACTTGAGTAACCAAGTAGGGATGGGATCCAACTGGCAATAAGCATTTGAAGATTGAATGATAGTATCCCGAACTTCTTCAGTAAAAACAGATGAAAACTGTTCAAGCTTAACCTCAGGCAGACGGGCTTCAACATTCGGAGGTATGACACCAATTTTTTCAATCTCTTCTTTAATCAAATCAATTTTATGACAGAAGAATTCACCAAACTGGTTTGGCGGAACAGTGGGACTTTCATGTGATGGCAAAGGGCTTTCCTCATGATTTTTGCAGAGTGAATTAACCACACGAAAGAGTTTCTTAGAATCCCCAGCACATTTTGTAATGAGGTCAGAGTAATGGTTTTTCTTTGAAACTTCTAGCAACCTGGAGCACTTATTACAGACTTCTCGATACGCATCTCTGTCACACTGGAGCTTGGACTTAAACATCTTCCTTTCAAGTTTCCTGCGTTTGGATTTGAGTTCTTTGAGATCTTTACTGAACCATGGAACCATAGGTATCGCAACAACGACTTTCCTTTGTATAGGGGCATGTTTCTCCAAGATCCTCAGCAGAGTGTCATCATAACACTTGACCAAATCCTCCAAATTGGACCAAGGAAAATGACATAGGTCTGACGCAGCGATATCATTCTTAAACACTTCTAAGTTGATTTTCTTGAGCTCACGGAACTATAGTTTCTTCACTGTTAAGGATGGACGAGAAAGAGACATTTTACATTCAATGAAACTTTGATCAGAAATTGATAGAGTAGCTTCAGGTCGAAGAACATCGACATCATTGGATGATCTAGTGATGATGAGGTCCAGGGTATGTCCTGAGGAATGAGTAGCAACAGTTATTCTCACCACCGTCAATCAGTGAAGACTTTAAATTGATGTTATAGAGGATACCAGTGCCACCACCGCTGCGTTGAGATGATCTTGGAAAATGTTTGAACAGGTAACCGGGAGGAGAAAGTGCAGAAGCACTAACAGAATCATAGTAGTCTTTGAGCCAGGTTTCGGTTAGCAGACAAAGATCAATGTTATTTCCAATAAAATGTTCCACAATAAGAGATGTCTTATTCTTGACAGAGCGAACATTTACAATACCAAATTGAAGCCATTTCTTCGACGGAATGGAAGTAAGATTTTTCTTCATACTGAAAAGATTCGCCACATTCCTGCTACGAAGACATGTAGAAGAGTCATAAACAGATCGGACTGTGTCCCATGGGATCTCACCGCAAAGCTCTTCGTTACGCAAGATTGATTTAAGGTTACCATCTTGAATATCACGTAAGCTACAATTCATCATTGAAGAACAAATATTTGACCATAATTGTATTCTTTTCCATCAGCAGACGCTCCTTAACTTTCCTGCCAGCTCTAGATCTTTTGTACGAGGAGGAACAAGTAGGACGCCAACTATTCAAACGCTTAAGATGGACAGCACTAGGACGCCAACATTTGATGTAAGATATATTCTCTGTTGGGATCCCTGTGTTAAATTTTATGGCAGAGAAGAACTAGGAACGAGAGAGGAGGAGTAGACTCTTCCACAGTCTCTCGCTCGTCCGTTCCGTCTCCACGCTTAGAGACTGTAACGGTACAATGAC